CTATATATCATAGCTCATCTAATGTAGATTTGAAAGAAGTTAAGATATCAGTAACAGTTCTAATCAGAGAAGAATATATAGTACTGTGAGCTGTTTTATCTTGATTAACTAGTATCTTTGAATTTAAGAGCTGATGCTCTTAGTTTATTCAGTGAGTATCTGTTATATCAGATGATATATTCTGCTCTTGTTATAAGAGAGCATCTGATATCAAGTTCTGACTGCTAGAAGAATAATGTATTATAAAATAAAAGCAGCTTAAGAACTCAGATCATTATATCTATCATTCAGTAAGTTTACAGATAGTTATGAAGTATTTAAGATTCTTATAATCTATGACTATCTCAAATTCAGAGATACTTCAGAGTTCAGAGTCTCATTCTTGTAAACAGTGCATAATCATGAGAAGTTTCTTATTATAGATCTCATAATTGCATTCAGCAGAACTCAGTTTCTTAGATATGAAAACATATAATTGTAGAATATCTTCATGATTATATTATAATATCACTTCTTCTATCATGTAGTCAGAGAAATCAGCTTCAACAACTATCTCATAATCAGAATTAAATATTATTAGCAGAGAGATATTAATAAACATCTTCTTGATCTATATAAATACAGCTTCAGTATTCACTGATTATTAAAATACTTAGTCTTTCTTAGTCAGATCTGTAAGTGATCTCATAATATCTGAGAAGTTTTATATAAATTGCTGATAGAAGTTAGTAAATCTGATGAAGCTTTGTACATCTTTCACAGTATACAGAGCTTTTCATTCAAGAATGATAAAGACTTTCTCAGAATTCATTCAAATTCTCTTATCAGCTTCTATAATAAAACTCAGATACTTGATACTCTTGACTTCAAAATCACACTTATCAATATCTATTGATAGTTCTGCTTCTTATAGCTATTGTAATATCTTTCACACATATTCTTGATATTCTTTTCTGAATTCATCAGTGAAGATGAGAATGTCATCTAGATAAGTAGATACAAACTCATTAAGAAAATCTCAGAGTGCTCAGTTAATATACCTCTGAAATATACTAAAGACATTAGTCAGTTCAAAGAATGTGACTATTTATTCAAAGAGATTATAATATGTTCAGAATGCTGTAAGCCATTCATCTTCTTCAGTGATACAAATCTTATGAAACACAGTTATAATATCTAGTTTTATAAATCATTGAGCTCATCTGATCTGTGCTAGAGTTTCATTGATAAGAGATAAGAGATATTGATCTTTCTTTATCAATCTGTTCATACTTCAGTAGTTCATACAGAATCAGAGTTCTTTATCTAATTTCTTTGTAAAGAGAATAGAGGCTGCAGCAGAAGAGTTACTAATATGTATAAATTCTTTATTCAACAGATTATTAAGTATCTTTCAAAGAAGAAGAAGTTCATCTCAGAACATGTTATAAAGAGAGTCTTATAATGATACAGAGTTCTTATCATTCTTCTTCTCTAACTTGATACTGTGATTCACTTCAGAATCTTGTAAGAGAGGTATATTTATAATATTATCTCATCAGAAGATATCTAGATATTTATAATATTATTAAGAGAGTTTTATATAAGAATCTGTTATTGTAACACAGAATAACTTTTCTAGAGTCTTTTTAATATTAGTCAGACTAATAGAATAGATTATTACATCATTCTGCTATCAGTAACTTCTTTTTCAGAGTATTTTATATACATTAACAGAGATCTGTGTCAGATTCACAATCTTGTGAATATTATCTTCATGAACTCTATTATTATTAGAGAATATCAAGCTTCTGTTTTAAGTATTTAATAAGATGTCTTATTCAGATAGTCAGGTAAGTTCTAATATAAGATTATAATCAAGATTATTAACTTTATATACATAGATATCTTCACATTGATGTTCTCTCATATCTATGATCAGCTTTATTATGTAACAGATACAAATGTCTTTTGAATCATTAAATTCTGCAAGAAGTCAGGGTTTTGATAAGAGAATATACTGAAGATTATGATGTCTTACAACTGAAGATTTTATCATTGTATAGTGACATAGATCACTGTCTATCATGACTTTTATATTATACATATTATCAATCACAGTAGATATAAGAATTGCATTTATTATTATCTTCTCTTTAAATTATTATTATTCAATCTCTTCAAGCTTCTGTTTACAAATTTGAATAGAAGCTATTCTTTTCCTTGTTTCATCAGAGCATTCTCATGGTTATCTTCTAAATCTTTCTCTAATGTAATGTGATTGATGTGAACAGGCACTAATTCATTCTTTGAATAAGAAGACACCGATCTTTTTCTTGAGTATGAAGACATATAGATTAATTAGCAGTTGAAAGCAATGTGTTCTGATCAGTTACAGTTGATACACATTTCATATTAATGTTAATTAATGACTTCTTCAGAAGTGATCTCAGAGACTCAGAAGCCTGTTTAAACAGTGAAAACTCTTGCTTATATATAGATATTTAAATCTATTCAGTTCATGATATCTGCATCATTGTTATTCTTTGATACAGGTGTATAAGTGACTGAAGTGTAACATCTTCTGCCACTGTTCTGTATAGTCTTGAGCTTAATAAGACAGTCATTCAATGTTCAGAGCTGTGTGCAGAAGTCTTTATAAGTCTGGTCTTTGTCTATACTTATAAGAGTCTGTAAGAGTTTAAAAGTCAATGTCTTCTTAAGCATGCTAATCTTCATTCAATTCTCTCAAGATTGATCACCTGCTTCTAGAATCTTGATGTTGAAGTCAGAGATAAATATTGTAAGAGAAGTATTTCTCTATTAAGTGCTCTGTAATTAATCTAATACTTTCTGTTACATGACAGTGTCTCAGAACAGAATATTAAGATGTTTCATAATATTATCAGATATTTTCAATACTGATTCACATGCTTTCATTCATGAATGAAACTTCTGTTTTATGTAATTCTTCAATTATTCATTGATATATCAATCTTGATTGATTAATGAACTGATGAAATCTTCATCTATACTCAGTTTTACAAGCATTTCCATTCTTCATGATGAGTAGAGACTCAGAGAGTGAGATTGAAAATATTGAAATATATAGAAGCATCTAAGCATTCTTTCAGTGCTTTTATATTCAATTCTGTAGATGTTGAAATCACATGAGTTAATTGTTGAATCTCTTTGTATTGAAGTTGTTAAGTCGCGTGCATGTCTGCTATCTGTTGCTGTTGTAATTTCAACATTGCTCAGAGTCACTGTGATATTGTTTCTTGAGTGTCAGAACTGTCAGATCTTTCACTGATATTCTCTTTGTAAAATCTTACTCTCTTTGTAAGATCTTATTACAGAGTCAGAGTGACTGATGAACAAGCTTCTATCTGAGAACTCAGTGTCTGCTTAACTGTTTAACTGCTTCTCTATTTCTTACACATTATTACATATTCAGATATTTCTTGATAAATAATCATTTCTAATAAGAAGATGATGAATGTTTTTATAGTATAAGAGGCCTACACTGAATAGATCAGTATTATATTGATAGGTCTTATTTAACAAAGATAAAAATATTAAAGAAGGAAAGAAAGAGAAAGTGTGACAATCAGTGATTGAGATGAATATTTATACATGTATGTGATAGTGTATGTGATGAAGCTTCAGAGTAGAAGAATATACACATGTTAATAGCAGCTGAGAATCAGTGATGAAAAATGACTGAGAATCAGAGTATATATTACATGTGTTTATAGCAGCTGAGAATCAGTGATTGAGAATGAAAGAATCTATGAAGTGTAATGAAATAGTCTATATAATTGATCAAGCGCAGCCCGTTACATATCTTTTTATAAAAATTTGATATAATATAATATATATCTGTAAATTATTATATTCATTTTTTAGAATAGTTTTTGATAAATATTCATTGAGATATTAATATTTAAAGTTGATTGAAATAGAATTACAGCCTGTAATTCTAGTCACTGAGATTATAAATTTCATGTTTAATCTCATTTAATCTAGTCTTATACATTTCTTAGTATGAATTCTGCTGAGACTAGTTATTAAAAAAAACATGTAAAGTAACTATATATCAGATCTTAAAATGAAATCATGACTTGAAAAAAATAAGAAAGTGATTTTATTTAATCTTATTTAATCTCATTCTTGAGATAAAGTTACTATTTTTAAACATTTTAAGATTTTTTTTAGACTATTTTTAATTTTTTAAAAAGTAACACTTTTTGATAATACTTAAATAAGATTTAAAGTCATTTAAAGCAATAAAAATAATTTTAATTAAGAAGTGAAAATCATGATCTTATTTGAAAAATGTGATAAGAGTAGACAGTAAGTCTTATTAAAATAGTATAAGACTACTATCTAATGTTAAAACTGTGTAATGAGATCAGTCAAATTGGTAATAAAACTATCAAAAAATCTGGTCCTGGTCTCAGACACAGTCACACGGTCAGTCTAATTACAGGAGCGGGCGTTGAGTGTAGACCGGCGTTGAGTGATTGATTACGTTACTAGTTAACTTTAAGATAATACTTCTATTCTAAGAACTTGAGATATGAATATAAAAATCAGATACATTATGAGAACATTGTTATTCTAAGGTTCTAAGATGATACAGAAATGATGAATCTATTCTCTTTCATACTCAGAATACTGAGTAAATTGTTCTCATGTTGCTAACAACCAGGAACTGTTTCTTCTCAGACACTTTGCAAGATATCATCACTCACATGACCTGATTTTACTATTTGAGGTTAGCTCATGACATAATCATCAATCCAGTGTTAAAACAGCAATGAATATCTGGAGAAGCGTCTGAGCTTGCTGAGATAAAGGCAGCCGTACTTTCTCTTTAATGATGTGCCATGTGATCTGACTTGGTAGGTCAAAACGCTTGGGCCGGCCAATACAGCACAGGGGTGAGCCTGCTGAGATAAGCGGCCGCTACATCCTCGCGACGGTTTGTAGGTTAGAATATCAACTCTACTATCCAACCCGCACAAGAATAGCCCATATGACTGGGACCAAACGCTCTTGGGTAGGCGACCTAGCCCAAGATCCAAAATCAGACATGACACCCCACGACAGCAGCATAGATGGAGACACATCCACCATTCGGTCAATTTTCAACACTTTCCGCGGCGATCTAGACGAGCACCATGACCGCCGAGAACGTGTGATTAAAGCTTCAAGAGACATTACGGCTCTGAGTAAAAAGATGTATGCCAGATATCCGGAATCGATGGCTCTGGATTCCTTTTGCATGGGAGCTGAGAGGCTGATTGATTCACAGTATATTCTCCTTGCATCGAGTTCGCGCTCTGAATAAACCCCTCCCCAAAAACATCACGGAGGACAACCAAGAACGGCTAGCGCAAATAACTGCCCTCTTCAACTCCGTCGTACCCGACTTGGCTGGAATCAACGAGCACCGATACCAATGGCAAATCAGCCCCGGTATCCAGGAATACATCGAAGCTGCCACATTCCAACACTATGTAGAGACCCAGCGACTCATGTCCCTTGATGACGTGACCGAGTCATTACCTCCAGGCATCCTCGTGACGGAGGCGGACTACATCCTAGGCTTATTCGATTTGACGGGAGAAATGATGCGCTTTGCCATCACAACAATGTCGGCTGATTCCGTCAAAACCATGTCCGTCGATGGTGCTGCGCCTACTGGCTCTAACGAGAAGGACACTAGTCGTGGTAGCATCCTGCTAGACCTACGGCAACTTCGTGCCATGTTTGAATCAATAAATGTACCGCGGGGACATAGCTTGAACCGGGACTTCGGAAAAAAGCTAGAGGTGATGCAGAGGTGCGTGGAGAAGGTGGAGCGGGCCGCCTATGGTTTGCTTGTACGGGGAAGCGAGCGACCTGGGGGATGGATTCCGGATTTGACCGGCCCCCCTCAGGTAGAGAGCTATTGAATCTGTATTCTGTCTTAACTAATTAATATCACGTTTCCTCTGGTCTACGGGTGTATGATGAGCATCTGTTTTGATAACTGGGCGAGGAGTCAAGGTTTACGAAAAACAAATAAAATTTTCGCGTGTTTTATGACGCAATAGGCCATAAAAGTGTGAGTTTTTTAATGCGGGATAACTACCGCGATGAGGCTTGGTGGGTATGCTGTGACTATAAGACACTTGATAGTGCCACATACCTTGTTGGGTACAAGGTTCCGTACCTTGATAAGTACCATCCATTGCGAAGCGCCAGTATTTACCAGAGGAAATAATAAAAATTCACTTTGCTAAATACAATATCATGCTTCATTTAATCATTGACGGACGGGTCCACTACGAACCCACGACTGGATATCAATCCCATTGGGTGGGTTTAGTCATCCTAAAGGCGCAATGTGTATCAAGGCCAGAAAATCGCATCATAATAGAACATGACCGGGTAAAATATTTTCGGATCATCCGACCGTACAATTCTGAAGCCGATCTGTGATGATTGAAAAAGAGAAGATATAGTCCCATCCCATGAGCAAAGCAAACAGAGGCGCACAGAATTAGAAAATAAAGAACTCCATGAATCTCGTCAACCCATCATCGATTCGCTGGGTACGGGCATACATAGCATCTAGCATAACCGTTGAGCATCCCCCTATTGAGCTGGGTGGGTAGGGTCTTCATTCTCATCAAGGATCCCGCGATGAATGAGCTCCTCAGGCTTGGGGCGGCTCTGGATCTTATGTTCCAGATGATCAGCCAGCATATGCTTCTCCAGCTCACGCGCATTGGCCTGGAGAGCCGGAGCAGCGGTGGAAGGTGGGATGATGTTTCCTAATATTGGATTGGGTGTTAGGCTGCTACGCATTACTGGGGAAGCCGATGTCGGATAGTTATGAATTCATACTCTCCACAAGGTCTTCGCGATCGGGCCTTTTCTCCAGATGCTTCTTGAGGCTATCTGCAGCCTTCTGACGGGCTAACTCCTGTTGTGCTGCCTGCAGGGACCTGGCCGCAAAGGGGTGGTGTTAGCGAGTTTGGGACCTTTCAAATTTGGGGATAGGAATGACCGAGAGGGCAAACATACGGAGCAAGATTGGTATCTAGGAGGATATGTCTCTCTTTCAAATCTTGCGGCTCGGGACGGTGTTGGAGATACTTCTCTAGCGAGTTGCGCCGCTCGACGGGCGAAATGGGGGAAGTGTCAACGTTTGAGGACTCAGCCATGGGTGGTTAGCTGAATAGATACTAGGTAGCGAGGGATGAAGGAGGGATGTTGTTAGTTGTTAATACTGGGTATATGATTGAGACTGAAGTAACTAGAGAGCTAAGATCAAGTTCATAGTACAGAGAATGTGTGCAGAGAAAAGTGTCAGAGTCTGTTAATTTGTATAGGAGTCACTGAGAGGAGTAGTACTCTGTGATAGCTGGCTCTTTTGCCCCAGTAGCCTACACCTAGTGTTTTCTTCCTGCGGAATCGCCCCGATTCGGTGCTCTGACGTAATCACGCGCTTCTGTGGAATGAACGCCAAGCCCGTTTTCAACTTGCTTCTTCGCTGCTTGCCATCGTTCCAACGTCCCTCTGTCTCGCGGTGTCTATATATAGATTATATATATCAGAGGCTCGCGTCAGACAGTGGACCATCATTTCTGCTTCTGGTTGCACTACACATACTACAGTGTTGCATGATCATCTTCCCTCTTAAGCATCTCTCGAACCAAACACCTAATATGCCCACTTAGCGCGTATGACTGCGCTAATCCCATTACCATGACCACGTCGAGAAATACAACCCCAGCCCAGATCTTCCCTGGGAGGGGGATTGGGTTTCTGAGTACGATTGCCTCCTGTATTTGTACCTATAGCTATGTTGATAGGATGTGCTAACTGGTCCTTCGCTATTAGCCTTGGGAGCCTCACTATATAATACCATAACCCGCCTCAAAGCCCATCCCCACACTTACCCCTCTATCGATTTGTCGTACTCCTCGTCCGATCCTATCCACGCCCCGATCCTGCTAAGCTTGCCCGCCAATGGCATGCGCCTGCGGTTCGATGGTCCTGACCAGAGACTGCGCTTGATAGAAGTCCTGGATTTCACCAAAATTCCTCTCGCATATAAATCCCACGACGTCCTCAAAGCCACGAAACCCATGGACCAGTCACCGCAACTAGGGCCAAGCTTTCGTCATGTCTACAATCGTATGTTTGGGCCATCCTATCCAGGGGAGTTTATTCCCAGTTCCTCAGGCTCAAAGTACGGAACATACGTTCTTTCCTACCCCGGTATCGCTTTCTCATTCCCCTTGCTTCAGTCTGCCTGGTCTGAGCAATGCGATTTCGTCTCCTTAATGTCATCATCTGCCGCATCTCCCGCTACTTCGATGGCTGTTTTCCAGGGATCGTCATGGGCAGATGGCCGCTCTAATTTGTTGACTCGAACGCCCCAATACCCCAGATCAACTGCACTCGCGGGGAAAAATCGAGAGTCGGTCGCAGATGAAATTGAGGAAGTCAAAGTACATGGTGCAGGTAGGGTGGAATTCTTCCGCAGAATGGGTCCATCATTTTGCATTTCCCTCTCAGAGACGACACCGCAGGATCTTGTAGCAGAATTTGGCCCTCCAGATGCTATCTATCGGAAAAATGATCGACGTATATCAATTCACGGGACCCAAGCACTTGGTAACACGAACCTCCGACGTACGAGCCCTTCTCCAGGCCGCATTGCTGACCCGACAGACATGGACCCGTTGTCTGAAACTAGTGTGACAGACGATTCGGATGGTGACAATTCTCCTGCTTTCCAACAGGATCGGGCTTCGCTGGCAACCGAGTGCTTTTATAACTACTTTGATCACGGGTTCGACGCCTTTATCTCCCATCCAACCGTTTCTGGACCACCGTTTCCAGGTTCCTCACATCCCGATACGTCGACAATCTCCTCACCTCCGCAGTTAGTCGTAACAAAGCTACTTCTACATGGGAACGTGCCAGGGTCTTATCCCTTCAATCGCCATAGGCGCAGCCGCTGGGTCCTGAATATCAATTCCGCCAGACAACCTCTGACGTCGGAAACCCCATATGACCAGCTATCAGACGAGTTGAAACGAATCTGGAAAGGTTCTTACTCGAGCGCATCCGAGGAAATGGCACTTCAGAGAGGAATGGTCCTCAACCGTGGCTGGGGTGACAGTCCTGGAAGCAGCGTCGAGCTTCTGGGTGGCTGGGAGGACAGCTCTACCAGCAAACCTTGGACTGGCTCAGTAACCGACGGTAGTCAAATCCTGGGAAATACTGAGTTGTTTGGTTTCCCAGGCTTGCTTTTTGAAGTGTTGAAGAATGGAGCCATTAGTTGTTTGACAGTGTACTAACTTGGGTTAGTATTCTTTTTTTATCTTTGCTTTATCCTTTCATATCGGCGCGCGTTTATTGAGCATGTCTAACGATAGTGGTCATATATCCCGGCATATCCATAAGTTTCATTATTTCATGTCAATTTAATTTATTCAAGTATACTTCGTGTGTAACATATCTGTGTGCTGGCTCTATATCTATCTCAATGGAGAATCACTTACTGCTCATGAATATATCCAAAATCCCGATGTTGACTCAAGAATTATACGGCCATTCAACAGTCTGAGTCGTCCTTTTCAACTTCTAGCCTCATTATCCATGTCCTCATAAACGATTGCGATAGTATGAAAAGTTATCCTATGATGCAAACCCGAAAAAAACCATTGCAAAAAACATGCCGGTCCCGCTGCTTTGCATGAACCAGGTATACAGTTGAATGTGGTTCAAAACTGGATACACTAGACAGATTTTGCAACCACTGCGCGGACAAAAAAATTACCTATTCCAGTAAGATGGATTCATGAGTCTCATATTTTTAACTTCACCATCAGTCCTAGACTGGCCGGCGGGACCATGAATTTCATGTTGGGTCCTATTTGATCTGGTCTCATACATTTCTTGGCATGAGCATTAACGTGACTCACCGGTGTCACCACTCAACGAACTTCAAAAAGCACTCTATAGAGCTGTTAATTTTCAATCATAGCATAACAATACAGTAAGATATTAATATTATTTATTAAAGATTAAAAGTATATATAGAATACATCATATAAATATATATGATTAATTCAGAGAATAATTATGTGGTCTAATAATTCACCTGAAATATAAAACTTGCAATTTTAAAATGATTGAATCAAATTACAGTGTAGAAAATATCAGGGAAGAAATATCATTTGATTTTCTCAGAGAAATCTGTGTGTGATATTTATTACTATTTTCAGAAGATTGTATAGAGTTTTTACAGTGTTTTGAACTCACTGGTAATCTTGTTATAAATCTTTTTAAAATCTTTGTAAATATCTGTTTTATCAACTGTGTTTTATAATATTTAACAGTATATTCTTTCTTCTCTTTTTACAGTTGAAACTTCTATTCATTTTACTATTATTTCTCTATAAAATGTTTAACTGTAGCTGCAGCTTTAATCTTCTTAGAATATTAAATAGCTTTTAAATGTTTTTCCTTACATTGTTTTTTTCACTTGATAAGCTTTGTCTGTTTTTACTTATAAAAAATCACTTATTAAAGTATTATATTTTTCTTACATATTTTTCTTATATATCTAATTATTAATTTTTGCACTTTTATTAACATTTGCTTACTTTTTCTATTAACTGTTATTAGACTGACTGTGTTACTGTGTCTGAGACCAGGATCAGATTTTTTAATAGTCTCATTATCAATTCAACTGATCTTATTACATGATTTTAACATTAAATAGTAGTCTTATACTGTTTCAGTGAGACTTACTGTCTACTCTTATCACATTTTTCAAATAAGATTATGATTTTCACTTCTCAATTTAAATTATTTTTATTGCTTTAAATGACTTTAAATCTCATTTAAGTGTTATCAAAAAGTGTTACTTTTTAAAAAATTAAAAATAGTCTAAAAAAACCTTAAAATGTCTAAAAATAGTAACTTTATACTAAGAATGAAACTAAATGAGATTAAATAAGATCACTTTCTCATTTTTTTCAAGTTATAGTTTCATTTTAAAATCTGATATATAGTCACTTTGCATATTTTTTTGATAGCTAGTCTCAGTGAGATTTATGTCAAGAAATGTATAAGATCAGATCAAATAAGATTAAATATAAAATTCATAATCTCAGCAGCTAGTCTAACTGTTATAGTTATTACAGCTATCACGTGTAACAATCTTCTTAAATCACGTGATTAATCACTATATTAAGCTCTTTATAAATAGCTCTATTAATACAATTTTTAACTATTCTACAGATTATAGTCTGAATAGTATGTTTTTCCTTTTTATAAAATGTTTTATCAATATTTTAATAAGAATAGTTTATCTTTTTCAGAAAGACTTTTACTTTTTATTAGAAATATTTTATTTTTTCTGAATCTGCTCATTAGTAGATTTATATCTTTTTTAAAAATGCATTCTTCATTATAGAGAATGTCATCTGTTTTTACATATCTTAAAGAAGCAGTTATTTCAATATAAGTAATATATCTATTACATTATTATTCAGCTCAAGACTTAGAATTACCTGTTTTTCTAGATAATTTATTAATAGAATAATCACTTATTATAAGAAGAATTCTGAGTTATATGATAAGAGTGATATCACTTTTCATCAGAGTGTGAAATTCAATAATGAGATAATAGAAGTACTTCAAAACAAAGAAAAGTAGTATTAATATTTATATTTATTTACAGTATGTATTTATTCTAATTTAATAAATTCTTTCTCTTTTTCTTCTTTAAAATGCTAGGTTTTAATAATGATCTAAATCAACTCATCAATTACACTACAGAAAATCTTATGAATCTTAAATATATAATACTTTTGAATTAACTGACTGAAGCTGAAATTATACAATATCTTATTATATCTAACTCTCTATAAAGCTCAAGAGATACTCTGAGAGATAAGTTACAGAAATACTAGAAGAAAGTTAAATATTCTCTAAAAATTTAATCAGTGACTATCTTTAACAGTTCTAATTATAAGATCTGATGCATTGATATGTTAACTAATATAGAAGTTATTAAGAGAATTAACATCTTATTAAAAACTTAATAAAAATTCTCTTTTACATGTTATATTGATTCTGAGAAGTAAAAAATCTCTTTCAAGTCTTTATATAAATATATACTGTGAACTCTTATTAGTAATATTTAAACTATTATTAAGATCTTAGAAGGTGATAATACTGCAGCTCTATAAAACAAGATCAATATTAAATACATAATATCACTGAGTGAAGAACATGTTCATCTTCAAAGAATTAATCAAAATACAGATTAAGAACAGTGATTATTTTACTTTTCAGAGATATTTTCACTACTTCATTTCTTATTACAAAGAGCTCTGTCAGAGTACTGAAAATATATACTATAATCTTTTTCTCAACAATCTATGAGATTATCAAACATTATTTATAAAGATATATCTGACTATGTTTTAATTCACTGATTAAAAATTAATTGTAAACATTAATATTAATGACTTAATAAAGCAGCTGATTAATCATACATTTAAGAAGATTGTCAGTGAACTGAAAGAGCAGGCTTAGACTGATTCTGTGACTGTAAAAAAGAATAAAGAGAAGAATAAAACACAGATGTATAAAAGTGTACTGTAAGAAATATCACTTCTCATGAATGCTTTACCTCTATTTTCATCTCTTATATAATTAATAGAGTTAGCAGCTCTTTACTATATACAACTATATAGACTGAAGTTCATGACTATTATTTATAACTCAGTTTAAATACTATTATATATTAAATCTCTATAATTATCTTTCTACTGTGAATACTTCTAGTAGTTATTAGTATATATTATGTCAAGCTGTGAATATCTGAATAACTATCTGTAAGTACTTATTCTTACATTTCAAGCTCTGATAGTCAGTAATTATCTATTATAACTGAAAGAACTAGAAACTTATATACTTTAATCTCTGTAAACTCTACTGCAGACACTCAGAAGCAGTTATCTGAATTATAAATAACTTTTATAAAAGAAGTTTCAGAGAACTTATTAATCACTTATAAGATATTATTCTCTATATCTGTGACAGAGAAACTCTCTGAACTCATGAATAAATTAATTTCAGTGAAGAATATTCTTAAGTATTTCTTATAAGATTAAGCTATGTTTCTATAAGAAATACTTACTATCTGTAAATAATCTTAAACTGAGTCTCTAGATATAATCTTTACAGATATCTATAAACTAAAAGAAAACTTTCTTAAGCTATAACTGCTTAAGATTATCTACTGAATTATAATCTATCAAAGCTTTTGCGAGTTTATATTTGAAATTAACTTACAAGTCTGACTGTATGTGACGGGCTGCGTCTGATCAATCATATGAACTATTTCATTACACTTCACAGATTTCAACTGCTTCATTCTTGAATGTGTATACTCTGATTCTTGATCATTCTTGATTGCCAATTCTTGACTGCTATGAACACATATAGATTCTTCCGCTCTGAAGCCTCATTACATACATCATCACATACATATATAAATATTCACTTTAATCACTGATTCTCATACTTTCTCTTTCTTTTTCTTCTCTAATGTTTTTCTCTTTGTTATATAAGATCTATATATTATACTGATCTATTCAGCATAGGCCTCTTATACTAGAAAAATATTCATTATCTTCTTATTAGAAATAATTATTCATGCATTATCTTCTCATTAGAAATAATTATTTATTAAGAGATATCTGAATATGTAATAATATATAAGAAATAGAGAAATAGTCAAACAGTTATTATTATTATTCTTCAATTATAGATGTATGCAGTCAGAGACTATGACATCTACCTGAGAATCTTTAGTTCTCAGAGTTTTTCCTATATCTATAGAGTCAACTATTATACATTTATCAATTTTAAATATATAAAATCAGAAAATTCCAGCTCAGAATATAAAAACTGTTTATAAATTACAGTATTTTAACATCTTCTGATAGTTTGAAATCATTTGAAAATATTATAATAAAAGAAAAGAGAACATAGTCTTAAAGATAGATATATTAAATAGATAGAGAAAAGAATAGAAGAAAATAAGTACAGTAAAGAGAGCTACAGAACAAGATCTCTGCAGTTTACATCTTAAGCTATATACATATTTTAACACTCTATATAACTGACTGCTGTCTCTGTTCTCTCAGGCCTGCTTCAGAGATTATCATTTTCTCTAAAGAGCTGCCGCTCAGCTAGCTTCTGTAACTAGCTTACTCATAAGTGAGATTCTCACTAAGAATAACATCAGAGCTACTCAATTCTAGTTAAGTCTCTAATCTTTCAGCTGTCAATCTCAGCATTTCAGCCTATCAATTGACTGTCACAGTCTTGCTTGCACTAATCACCTATTAAGAACATCTAAGTCTTGTCTCACCTAGGTTTTTGCTAGGCCCAGAGTGTTCTAATCAGATAGTTTTTAAATCTCATTTCCTGAAAGTGAGTGCTTAGAGTGAGAGAGATGAGACCTGGCCAGTTAAGCTTGATAATGATTCACTATTCTGTGAACACTCTAGATCTCAATCACTCTAGTACTGATCTAACTTGAAGTGCTCAGAGAGCTGTTAACTCTAAGATCAGTGAGAATTAGCATCTGAGAACCCTCAGAATGAACATCTTAAGCTTGATAATGATTCACTATAGTGCATCCGGGGGCCCTCAGTACTGTTTTATAACTTAACAGTGAAAGCTGTGGTTAAGATGACTCTCACAGAGTTCAAACCTACCCTCTCTTGACATTCATTCCCCGGGGGGAAGGCCGCTAATTGAGGCTTCATGATAGCGTAGTTAATCACTACGCCACCGGGCCACAGTCAAACAGTTAAGTAAATACTGAGTTCTCAGATAGAAGCTTGCTTATCAGTCACTGTGACTCTGTAATAAGATCTTACAAAGAGAGTAAGATCTTACAAAGAGAATATCAGTGAAAGACCTGAGAGTTCTGACACTTCAGATATATGAGATATTTATATAATTACACTTTCATATTCAATAATTGATA